ATTTTTTTTTTTGGGGGGGGGTTTACGGCGTTGCTTGCAACTGCATATATGTCATCTGAGCGCGCGGGACACATTAAACATTTTCATTTGGTAGGAAGCTTTGAATTTTGCCCTGGTGGCAGCCGAAGCCTACTCTTATCGATTTTAGACCACCAAGGGATCTTTAACGTGCGCACAGGACCTCCGAGATGTTTCGCACTTGTTCGAGGAGGCTAAATGTAAACCTTTCCTACCATAAGATGAGGGGTGCGGCTGAAAGACAGCAGAATAAGAAGTAGCCAGAGAGTAGCAGTAGAAAGGCTGCAGAAAGAGTCACGAGCCCAAAGGAGGGGGAAAAGGAGGTGAGGGGGTGAAGGCAGAAAGTGGAGACGAAAGCAGACAACAGAACATTGCTACAGAGCAGGAAAGGAGGTGAAAGGGGACAATTTTAGAGAAGAAAATTTTTCCGTCGCTACCCGGATTCGAACCCGGGACTTTTGAATGAGAGGCGAACACATTCACCTCTAGGCCACGAGAGAGCCCCTTCTTTCATCTCTTTAAGTGTTCATTTTAGCATGCTTTAATAACCTTTCCTCTGTATAAGTGTACATGTTTGCATTCATCAGTTTCCGTCATATGAGTGTGCATATCAGCTTGTTTCAGCTTCTGTCTGTATGGGTGTACATGTTAGCAACCTTAAACTGTAATCTGTATGATTGTACATGTTAGCATTCTCAAGCTTTAGTCTGTATAATAGCACATGTTAGCATGCTTAAATAACATAGTTTCGTCTGTATGAGTGTACATGTTAGAGAGATAGAAAGGGGGTGAGAGAAAGAGTGTCTGTATAAGAGTACATGTTAGCATTTTTAAGCGTTCGTCCGTATGAGTATAAACGTAAGCATGCTCAAATTTTATTTAGTCTGTATAAGAGTATATTTTACTCGTTTGCACGCTTAAGCTTTCATCTGTATGCTGTATGCTGGAGCGTATTTTTCTGCAGGTTTACCATTCCATGATACAGAATGGTAACGCTAATGTGTAACTGCATAATATACTTGGTAATTGTTTTGTTGGGGGGGTTTTAAGGAGTTTTTATTGTTGTTGGTTTTATTAGGGGGGGGGGGATTACGTATTTCCTTTTAAAAGTATGTTTGAAAAAGACGTCCTCTATTTCAGCTTACTATTGAATGAAATAATGCTTTTTCAGTCCAATAAGGTCCAAAACGACCTACATTTCACTCCTTCCTCCCAACCCCAACCAAATCTAAACCGTGTTCCAAAACACCTTGTTGGGAACCGTAATCGACTAAATTGCAGAAAAAACTAAAGTGTAAATCACTCCATTGCAGGCAGTTTTGTCTCGTTCAAAAAGACTGAAATTGGCCCCAAAACAGACACATCAGTTATGCCCAATCTCAATATAAATCAGACATACATAGGTGCCAGGTTAATCAAAGGGACTCGGGAGAGAGAAATGGGAATTACTTTGAATGAAGATTTATGAGAGGATTACGCAGCATTGCGAGTACGTCCCTAATACGGGGTGCCCACTACGGCTGGATCGGGCCGATCGCCCGACTCGATCGCCTGAAACTGGAAACAAACGCGTTTGTTTTTGAGGTGATCGAGTCGGGCGATCGAGTCGGGCGATCGACCC